TGCTGGAGAAGGCAATGGCACCCCACTCCAGTCCTCTCGCCTGGAAAATCCCATGGACGGAGGAGCCTGCTAGGCTGCAGTCCATGGGGTCGCAAAGAGTCAGACATGACTGAGCGACTTCACTTTCACTTTTCACATTTATGCATTGGAGAAGGAAATGGCAACCCACTCCAGTGTTCTTGCCTGGAGAATCCCAGGGATGGGGTCGCACAGAGTCGGACACGACTGAAGTGACTTAGCAGCAGTAGCAGTAGACTAGTCAAAATCCTCAAAACAGAAAGTGATTTCCAAGGTAAGAAAGGGAAGTTTCAGTTTGGGAAGATAAAGAGGCTCTGGAAATGGATGGTATACAACAGTGTGAATGTATTTAATGTCACTGAATGGTTCTCTTAAAAGTGACTGAAATGGTAAAATGTATGTTATACACAGTCTACTAAAATATAAACTTGGAGGAGGAAATGCCAACCCAATCCAGTACTCTTGCCAGGAAAATCCCATGGACAGAGGAGCCTGGTGGGCTACAGTCCACACAGTGGCAAGGGTTCGGCCCCCCCAGTTGCTTGGGCCCCTTCTTAACCTTTTAAAATTTTGGTTTTATTTTTTAAAATCCCCTTGCCAAAATTAAGTTTCTTTTCTTTTCCTTGGAAACGGATTGCCAACCGTTTCTTTTAAAGAACGAGAAGCTCAGAAGACCACCGTACCTGGTTGCTTGCCCCATACCCAGCTCTCTAGGATTGACTTGGCCCGATACACAGGTGCAGGAGTTTCTTCCTCTTCTTTTTTCTCTCTGTCATTCAGATCTTCTTTCTTTGTTCCAATCTGAGTATCAACACCATCATCTGGAAAATTTTTTATAAATTTAAGTATATAAATTGCTTTTTAAAATGTAACATAACACTTGCCAGTCTCTTTGCAAATTTTCACCCAAAAAATGGAAAAGTTAAGTTGCAACACACATCATTAGCTGACCACTTGACAACTGGGAAGAAAAAACTACATGACTCATCAACATAACAGTGTGATTTAAGAAGTAATGAATGGCCGGCCCAGTGACTCCATTAATTTGAAAAATCAAAATATCACTCAAACTGTTCTTTGACATATGTCTTCCAAGATATTCCATCATTTTCCTACTATATTTCTGAACTAAAAAACTTAGTCTTTGTATTAACATTAATTGTTTTTATCCAGTGATTCCCAATTGCAGTGTGTCCACAAGGCAAGGAGGGCATGGAATGGGAATATGATTGAAAAATCATCTTCAACTCTATACAGCGCCCTACCCCACACCAACTGAGAACCAATGTTACACAGGGCCACTACCACTGAAATAATAATTCAGGAATGCTGCAATATAGAAGTAAATGGAGTACCACAACTTTAGGCCACTGACAAGTTGGCCTAAGAAAAACTATTATGAAACTCCTTACTTAGCAAGTTAAGAGAGAACTAACATTAACCTTCAAGTGTAAATGTATCCTATCCTAGAAGACCGCTACTAAATGAACCATTTTCTAAATAATAGAAACTATTTTCTAAATAATAATTAGAAATAGACACTTGACCCTTGAACAACATGTGCAGTCAAAAATCCGCAGTTCTTCCGTATCCAGCAATTCAAACCACCAATCACGCAGTACCATGGTACTTACTACTGAAAAAAAATCTGCTCATATGTGGACCTGCATAGCTCAAACCTGTGTTGTTAGTTAGCATCCACTATTACATCTAAATCTGTGGAAAAAAGAGTGTATCATATCACAAAAAGTAAAGAGTATCTAAAACCAACAAGGGATAAAAGAAACTCCGACATTCTATAAGAAAAATATCAGATGTCCAACAGAAGCAACACCAAAAAGCTAATGTCATTAAAAGATACTAAATTCATGCTTACAAAAAATATAACTTAAAACAATGAAATATTACTTTACATTCAGCAAACTCACAACTGTTCAGTTCAGTTCAGTCGCTCAGTTGTGTCTGACTCTGCAATGCCATGAATCGCAGCAGACTAGGCCCCTCTGTCCATCACCAACTCCCAGAGTTTACTCAGACTCATGTCCATCGAGTCAGTGGTGCCATCCAGCCATCTCATCCTCTGTCGTCCCCTTCTCCCCTTGCCCCCAATCCCTCCAAGCATCAGGGTATTTTCCAGTGAGTCAACTCTTCGCATGAGGTGGCCAAAATATTGAGTTTCAGCTTCAGCATCAGTCCTTTCAATGAATATTCAGGACTGATCTCCTTNCACAGCTCAAAAGCATCAATTTTTCTCACTCAGCTTTCTTCACAGTCCAACTCACACATCCATACATGACCACTGGAAAAACCATAGCCTTGACTAGACGGACCATTGTTGGCAAAGTAATGTCTCTGCTTTTTAATATGCTGTCTAGGTTGGTCATAACTTTCCTTCCAAGGAGTAAGCATCTTTTGATTTCATGGCTGCAGTCACCATCTGCAGTGATTTTGGAGCCCCCAAAAATAAAGTCTGACACTGTTTCCACTGTTTCCCAATCTATTTCCCATGAACACTGTTAGAAAGCTAAGATAAAGGCTCCAAGGCAGGACCTTCTATTCCTTTTCCAGCTAGTTTTGCTCTCTGTATCCCCAGCTAGTTTTGCCTAGAACAACGGATGCCAGGGAATAAGCCCTCGATGATGAGTCCAATAACTAAATAATGCCAAGTGTCAGGAGAAACGTGGAGCTGGAGGCACAAATCTTCAGACACAGCTGTGGGAGAGTCGAGCCCACAGCCCACCTGGAGAGCAATCTAGCACACGGAAGGTCCAGCAGTCGCCTCCAGGCACTGTGCCCACAGAGCTCTCACACAGGCCTGTGACCGGGCGGACTTGGAAACAAACGCTCACAGCAATCTCAGGCACCCCAGACATAACTTATAATGTGTGAACACTATACACTAGTTACACTAGTATGTTTTAAATGCTAGTGTATTTAAAATAAAAACATAAAAACAAATGCATTAGACAGAAAAACACTTAAAAATATGGATTTGGAAACAGTGTGTCAGGAACTGACAAGTATAATTAACTCAACATTCTGCCCCTGAGGCCAAAGAAAAAGGCCTTGTCACAGTATACTACTTATGTCCCATTCTCTCAACGTCATGCCATAGCTATGGTTAATGGTACCTCTATTATTTACAGAAATATCAAGGGAATCCCTGGCAGTTCAATGGTTGGGACTCTGCACTCTCACTGTCAAGGGTTTGGGTTCAGTTCCTGGTCAAGGAATGAGATCCTGCAAGCCACACAACGTGGCCCAAAAGAAAAAGGAAAAAAACAAAAAGAATCCAACAAAACATAGATCATTCTTGTAATGTAACTAAAGAGCCTCTTGATGAGGTGAAAGAGGAGACTGAAAAAGCTGACTTAAAATTCAACATTCAAAAAACTAAGATCATGGCATCCAGTCTCATCACTTCATGGCAAATAGATGGGGAAAAAATGGAAACAGTGACAGACTATTTTCTTGGGCTCCAAAATCACTGCTGACGGTGACTGCAGCCATGAAATTAAAGCTGCTTCTTCCTTGGAAGAAAAGCTATGACAAACCTAGACAGCATATTAAAAAGCACAGACATTACTTTGCCAAAAAGGTCCATACAGTCAAAGCTATTGTGTTTCCAGTAGTCATGTATGGACGTGAGAGTTGGACCATAAAGAAGGCTGAGAGCCTAAGAATTGATACTTTTAAATTGTCGTATTAAAGAAGACTCTTGAGAGGCCCCTCGACTGCAAGGAGATCAAACCAGTCAATACTAAAGGAAATCAACCCTGAATAGGCATTGAAAGGACTGATACTAATGCTGAAGCTCCAATACTTTGGCCACCTGATGCAAAGAGCTGACTCATTAGAAAAGACCCTGAAAGGGAGAAGGGGACGACAGAGGAAGAGATGGCTGGATGGCATCACCGACTCAGTGGACATGAGTTTTAGCAAAGCTCCGGGAGGTGGTGGAGGACAGGGAAGCCTGGCGTGCTGCACTCCTTGGGGTGGCAAAGAGTCAGACAGGACTGAGCGGCAGCAACACCTTAAAAACAATGTTCCAATATCCAAAAAAGGCAGGTAAGAGAAACAGAAACAGAAAACAAACGGTAAGATGACAAGTCTTAGAATCTAAACATATCATGAATTATACGATAAATGACCTGAACACAAAAGATGGACTGTCACAATGGATTTTCTAAAAATGACCCAACTACATGCAATCTCTATAAAACTCACTTAGAATATAAAAATATAAGAAGATTAAAAGTAAATGAATGGAAAAATATATATACCAAACAATACTAATCAAAAGAAAGCTGAAATGACTATTTTAATATCATATAAAACGGATGCCAGAGAAAAGAAAATTACTGGCGATAAAGAGGAATATAACATAATCATAAATCAGTAAATTCACCAAAGAAAACATAATAAGCTTACATGTGTATGACGTCAAAATAAAGCCCCAAACATACAAAACAAGAACTAAAAGGAAAAATGGACAAATCCACAATTATGTTAGAGATACCAACACTGCCCTGTCAGTAACAAAACAAGCAGAGAGAAAACCAGCACTGATAAGGAGTTGAAAATCACAAGCATAAACCAAACAGATGTGATCAACACTTTATACAACAAAGCATCAACAAGAGTAGAACACGCCTTCTTTTTGAAGTATACATTGAATATTCACCAAGACAGACCACATTTCAAAAAGGCAGGACTTAAGAAGGGGGACAAAAATGAAACAGCACAAGGAAAGTGAAAATAAGCTGAAGTGTACAATACAAAGTGCCTGGCCATACAGCAGAGCGTTATTCTTTTTAATTCTTACAAAACAATTTTTCCAGCAGGCAGGCTTCTGTCTCCTGTTCACAGATGCAGAAGACACTGCATCTCACAGTACAGTTCAGGCAAAGAGCTTGGGCTAGAATGCAGTGTAGGCTGTAACTGCTAGGCCCTACTCACCCACAGGGTCTGCCTACAAGGCTGGGGGCAAACTCCAGCCTGAAGCTGGCTTATGTATGGTCTGAAAGCTCAGAAAAGATTTCACATTCTTAAATGGTTGAAAAGTAATCAAAAGAATATTTTCTAATGAAAACATTATAAAAACTTCACATTTCAATGTTTACTGAGTTTTGTGTATGGCTGCTTTGGCACAACTGCAGGGTCCCAAAAGTGGGTCCCCTGGCCGTTTAGAGAAAGTCTGCCAACCTCTGATGCAAACCTCATTTTAAATATTACAAATAAAAAAGAACACAAAATGCTCAGGTAACATCAGCAATATAACCTTTCATCACCAGGAAGCAGACAAGAAGCACCGGTTTTACTCTCAGGAGCATAAACAAGAACATTTACAACAGCAAAAGCAGGAGGAAGTCACTTGAGGATACAGAAACCACCAAGGAGAGCTCCACAACCGGCTCTGAGACAACAGGTTAAGCATGTCACCTCTTCTCTCCATCAGCACAGGGCTCAAAGTTTACAGAGAGCAAACAAACAGAGCAGAACTGCTATGGAACACACACACCCCACAGATTACGGAAAGATGGGGACAGGGGAGTGGGGGGGCTGACCTTCCTAAGGCTCCAGGGTAACGCCCTCCCTGCAGGGGAAGAGCAGGTTTCAGGAGATGAAACAAGGACTAGAAGACTCTAACACTCTCCTGTTCTAGTACAGTAAGATTTCTCACAACCACCCGAAGAGATTTCCTCTCAAAGCGCTGTCAGAAGGTGCTAGGTGTAGGACCTACAGAAAGAGGAGTTCTTGTTTAGTCACTATGCTTGAGGTCCAGGGTAAGCAGTAGGCTAGAGGTACAGGCAGCCCCTCT